ACATGGAAGCTCACTCTTTTTTTCCCTTCTCTCTTTCTGAGACAATGATTTTAAAATGAATAAATAAAGTATAAAATTAAGAGACTGACTAGTTTTTACCACAAATATATATTGATTTTTAGTTTCAAAAGAGCTGCAAACGAATCTTGACTGAACTTTGACCTTATTATTCACCTTAAAACAAAGACTGAACAGTAGCAACAACAAAACAGGTGTTTTATGTGCTCATTCCTTATGAGATTCACAAGAGTATACCTGAGATTATGCAGAGAATGTTTCTTTTAAAATTCATCAATAGGGTCGATTTAAACACTGCACTAGAGAGAGAGAGAAAGAGAGAGAGAGAGAGAGAGAGAGAGAGAGAGAGAGAGATATTAAACGGGCCCAGTTCTCAAACGGGTTCTCACCTTTCAAAGCAGGTATATGGGTTCCAGTGCCTGTTCAAGCTATTCCACTTCCCATCCAGCTCTGTGATCGTGGCCTGGGAAATCTATGCAGGATTGCACAAAGCTTTGGCATCCTTCACCCTGTGAGAGACCAGAGAGGCTCCTGGCTTTGGACTGGCTCAGCTCTAACCATTGCAGCCCTTGGGGAGTGAACCAGGAGTCTGGCGGTGTTTCTTTCTGCTCTCCGTAATCCTACATCTACCTTTTCAAGAAAAATAATTCTGTCTTAAAATGAGTAGATACCAAGTTTGTATGTTTTTCCCTAATATGTAAAAATAATAAAAATGTTATTCATAAATAATAGTCTACTAATTTATTCTGGTTTTTCCTTTTGTTGTTTGATTTTTTGTTGTTGCTAATTCTAGCTACTGTGTATATGGAGAAACATATGGAAGCTAGTCTCTCTGAGCCCAGCTAATTTCATTCAACATGATATCCTCCAATCTCAACCATTTTAAAGCAACTGATAGAATTTTACTCTTTTTACCCTAGGTGAATAATATTTATGATGTGTGTGTGTGTTACTTTCCCTTTATCCATTCATCTGATGGTTGGCGTCTTAGTGATTCCACTTTTTGACCGATAAACATGGTGGTGCAGGTGTGTAATTGACACAGTGTTTTCCTATATATTTGATACATACCCAGTAGTTGAACTTGCTGTATCACAAGGTAAATCTGTTTCCAGGTTTCCAGGAAATCTCTGAAGTGTTTCTAACTTACACCTCCAGCAGAAATGCACAACAGTTCTCCTTTCGCTACTTCCTTGTCAACATTTGTTACTTTCTGTCTTTTGCGTAAGCACCATTTTCAAAAGGGTTGAGGTAATATCTTATTGTTGTTTTAATTTACATTTCCTTGAGGGTTAGTGATGCTGACAATTTTTTTTTTTTTTTTTGTATTTGTCAGCCTTTTGCATTTCTTCCTGTTGAAAATTGCCTACTAAGGTCCTTTGCCCATTTGTTAACTGGATTGGTTGTTTTTGTTGTTGTTGTTACTGCTGTCACTGAGTGTTTTGAATTGCTGATATATTATGGGTGTAGTTGTTTTGTATTAATAATCTAAAATAAAAATTTTGGTGGCAAAATGTAGCCTCTAGGAACAGACTTCACGTGACATTTGCATGTAGACATCAACACTCAGTCACTTTATGAATTTCATTATTTTTTAAATGTTCAGTGTTTTCATTCATGCCCAAACAGCTACACAGATAGATAATTTATATTCACAATTTACAAAGCTTTAAATTTATAAGCACTATAATATAAACAATATTTCTGATAATTTTGTCCTGAGAAGACCTAGAACACTAAATTTGTATCTTCTGAAGTAAGGAAATTGAGACTGGATCACATATTATCATAAATGTGCCTAAAATATCACTAGAATTTATAGTGTAATCATGAATGTATTCATTTTGTAAACACTCGTTTTAAGATAGCCAGAAAAAATTTGCATGAAATCTTGTACACTTTTAAAATGTATTCTTTTTTGTGAAACGATATTACATTGAGCAAATTAAATATTTTCACTTTAATATGCTATCTTTTTATTCATCCATAAAGTAAATGTTTAGTTTTTATATATAATTTAAATTATTAGATTATTCTTTTTAAATTTTTCATACTAAATTTTCATTTATTTTTTACATATTCTAGGAAACAAAAATTTTAGATTTAGATTTATGAAAAGCACAAATTCAGGTAATAAATTTGCCACTATATTCTGATGGTTTTATTAAAGGCAGTTAACATTTTTGTCCACATGTCAAAGTACTTAGTGGAAAAAATACTTGGAGTTGAAATATCTCCCACTCTTATCTGAGCAGATGTTTTCTGCAGAGATGCAGAAAGGCTATTGCTAGAAAACATGCAGTGAAAAAAAGAAAACAATGCAAAACAAGATGAGAATACTCTTTACTGGCATGGTTTCTGAGTCATTGAAACTGAACCTGGCATATGTGGTCAGTTTCTCCTGCCTTGAAAAGTGGTGAGCATTGGTTGGGCTGCCTGCTGATCCTTAGGTGAACTGAGCACTGAGCTCCAACCTTTGGGCTTTGGGTTATATCTTTCTGTTCACATGATATTTGTTTCTTTCTATGAAGAAATAAGTAGCAAGCTTCTGTTTGTGTACAGTAGTCTAAAACTGCTGAAGCTATGGAATCTTTATTTCAATTTGTCTGTCCTCTTCAGTCCAAACTGCTGATTCTGTCTGAAGGGGGAGGGGCTGTTCTGTTGAATTATTCTCCTGAAAGCTCTATGGATTTCTGATGCTTGAATATTATTGGCATCTTGTCCTTTATTGCAATGAAGCAGCAACCATCAGATGTTTTTGAGACAAGCCACTGTCTAATTAAGGTTGAGAGTGTTATATGCCATTTATGAGACTTGCTCATTTGAAAAGCTCAATGAATTTATAATACAACAATTTAGTTCTTATTGTTGTTGTTTGTCTTAACTAAAATCCTTTATGCAGAGTTCTCCATTTATACCAGAATTCACCTTGATAGCTTCCTGTCAATATCCAGTTATTGATCTTTGTCCCTGTGAGAACCCTTCTCTTGTACTTGCTAGAGAAGCTGAGACTGGGAAATAATTCTATTGTTTGACCTAACCCAACAAGTGAGTTAATAGCGCTTTCTATCTTTCACATCAAATAGACACAGGATGGCAAATCATTCCTGCATCCACAATGCACTGCACTTTTTTCCAACCTCCAAAGACAGCATTCCTACTGTCTCCCCAGCATCCATTTGGGCACCTTAAGTTCCCTGCTGATCCATGTCCGATCCCACTCCCTGGAACTTACCTGGGAACCAGTAACAGGTGGTACTAGTGAAGGATCCCCTGTACCCACGTGGGAAAGCCAGAAGAAGCCCATTTGCTTTGTGCTTGGGTCTAACTCATCCTTGCAATCACAGCCATCTGAGGAAGTGATCCAGAGAATGGACGATCTCTGTCTCTCCTTGAATCAAAACAAGCAACAAACAACTGATTTGTAAAAGGTTAATATTTGTAGCACCAAGCCTCTTTTTAAAAATGCCTTAGAGGGCCCGGCGCGGTGGCGCAAGTGGTTAAAGGTCCTCGCCTTGCACGCCCAGGATCCCATATGGGCGCCGGTTCTAATCCCGGCAGCCCCGCTTCCCTTCCAGCTCCCTGCCTGTGGCCCGGGAAAGCAGTCGAGGACGGCCCAAGGCTTTGGGAACCTGCACCCACGTGGGAGACCCGGAAGAGGCTCCTGGCTTCGGATCAGCATAGTATCGGCCCGTTGCGCTCACTTGGGGAGTGAATCATCGGATGGAAGATCTTCCTCTCTGTATATCTGCCTTTCCAATGAAAAAATAATAAAAAAATAAATCTTTAAAAAAATGCCTTAGAAAAGGGAAATCAAGGGCCTATACTGATGGGTATTGTGACCAGTAAGAATAAATTCCTTTCTATTCCTTTCTGGCACTTGAGCCTTGTCAGGCAGACACTGCAGTGTGCGGCGAGAATCCCTCTGCAGACAGGGTAATATGATCGTGGAAGCCGTGTCAGTTTGAGCAATTCTTTTTGGTTTTGAAACTTAGCAGAAGTCTTATGGAGTGAGAGTTCTGCAGTTTTAAAACAAGATTGACCCAGTATGGAAAATATCTGTTAATTTCTGAAGATGAAGCATACTTAGAACATTAAAATTAAGTTTTATAATTCCATTTAGCATCCAAACACTTCAGAATGCTAAGGAAAATTCTAAATTAAAAAGAAACATGGTAAATCTTTAAGATAGCTAGATACTAATAAATAAATTTAATAGAAGTTAAATCAATGTTGAGAATGTATTATGCTCATCTGATTAGAGACCTCATTTTACAATGAGGTAAAATCTGCTCAAATGGATTATAGATTTTATTGCATTGATATACAAACTCTGGAAGCAATTTTGTGGAAATCCTCAGGTAACTCTGAAGTGCAAATATTTATGGCAATAGTGTAAAAGAAACTTTCTTATTGAATTAATAGAAATATGTGAATTTGGAATATGCTAATGAGTAATCAAATGAAATACTTTTTTTACTTCAACCCCTATATTTAATCCCTATATTTAAAATGCTGTCAACTAAAAGGAACACACACCCATGTTTGGATATTCAGATGTGAAAACATACATATACATGCTATACATGTCAAATGTATAAATACATATTTTTGTTTTTATTATGAAAAACAGTTGATTTTTTAAAAAAAAAACAGAATGCAAAATAAAGATCACAGCAAAGTCAGATATGATTTGTTGATTAAAACAGTATGATAACTGGGCCTGGACCAAATCCTCACCTTGCAAACACTGAGATCTCATATGGATGCTGGTCTGCATCCCGGATGCTCTACTTCCAACCCAGCTCCCTGCTTGTGTTCTAGGAAAGCAACAGAGGATTGTCCAAGGATTGGGGATTATTGCATCCATTGGAAAGAGAAATGGTGAATGGAAGATCTTTTTCTCTGTCTTTTCTTTTCTCTGTATAATTGATTTTACAATGAAAATAAAATGAATCTTAAAACAACAACAATATAATAACTGCACCACATGGTATCTGCATGCAGTGGTTTATTTCTGCTTGGATGTTCCAACAACAGTGCAACAGACATTTAGTATCTGCACTTGCTTTTCCTGACTTTAAGCATATTAAATCTGATATTTGTATTGATACAATATTTCTGATTTTTCTTTTAAGCAGATCAATTTGTAGTAATCTTTAATAGTAAATAATGGTTTTCTTTTTCTAGGTTCCCAAAAGTTAAAATCAGGCAAATTTATTTACTCTAATAAGGCCTGAGTAAGTTGTTTGAAAACAATTATATTCTACAGGGCCCAGTGCGATAGTCTAGTGGCTAAATTATTGCCTTGCACACACCAGGATGCCATATAGGAGCCAGGTCATATTCCAGCAGTTCTATGCCCTTGAAGCTCTGTCCTTGAGGCCTGGGAAAAGAGTAGAGAATGGCCCAAAGCCTTGGAACCCTGCAGCAACCATTGGAGACTTGAAAGAAGTTCCTGGCTCCTGGCTTTGGATCAGCTCAGCTCAAGTCGTTGCAGCCACATCACTTGGGGCATGAACAACTAGATGAAAGATCAATTACTTTGTGTCTCCTTCTCTCTGCATAGCTGCCTTTATAATAAAAATAAATAAGTCTTTAAATAAAAGCAAGTATATTCTGCAAATTCTAGATGGGGAATTTTGAAGTCAGCACTGTATAATTCAAGTAAAGTCTGTCAAAGCCTAGCAGACATTGATGATAAAACAACTGTGGAATAAACATTGGCTTGTTCACAAGGGCTTGAAGATTTGAAGAACTACTGAGTTGTTGGACTCAGCCCAGTAGGTTGTGGCTGAAGTCCTTACCTTGCACACTCTGGCATCCACAGGAGCACTGGTTTGTGTCCCAGCTGCTCTACTTCCCCTCCACCTCCCTGCCCTGGATTGGGAAAATAGTCAAGGATGGCCCTACACCTTGGGACTCTGCACAAATGTGGGAGACCCAGAAAAAGCTCCTGGCTTCTGGCTTTGGATCAGCTTAGCTCTGGCCATTGGAACTGCTTGGGGAGTGAATCAGCAGATGGAAAATTTTTTCTGTCTCTCCTTCTCTCTGCAAATCTGATGTTCTAATAAATATAAATAAATCTTTCCAAAATTAGGTGAAAAATAATTGAATGTAAACATGAAGAATTTGTTAAACAGCACATTTATTAAAATTATATTTTATATTATATTAGGCAGTATAAAACCAAACTTCACACTAATTTGTAGAAAGCAAAAAATAGATAAATAAATATGTAATAATATTGAAATAGAATATGTTTGCAGTAATAATCAATTGTAAGAAATTATTGTTAAGAGCAAGGATAGAAAAAATACAGAAGTGGGATAAGCAATGCTCCGAAATAAAAGAGATAAAATATTTTAGCAATTAAACCCAAAGGATGAAGAAATTATATTTTAGAAATATATTTTAAAAAATCAATATAAAATGGATTTTAGAAATTATGGTTTTCAGCTCTTATTAAATATTTCTGGAGGATTATATGTTTAAATTGTGTATATAATCTATTAATTAATAAACACATGCTTAAAGTATTTTTAAGAACTTATATACTCAAGAAAATAAAACTACGTCTTTACCCTTGTCAAGATGGTATCAGCAACAAATGAGAAAAGTCCCAGGGCCCAGTGCAATACCTCAAAGATTATATCTTTACCTTGCAAGTCCCAGTATACCATGTAGACCTTGGTTCATGCCCCAGATCCTTTGCTTCTGATGCAGCTTCCTGTCTGTTTCCCAGAAAAACAGTGGAAAATGGCCCAAAGTTTTGGGACCTTGCACCCAGGTGAGAGACAAAGGATTCTCCAGGTTCCTGTCTTCAGAGCAGCGCAGCTTCAGCCATTATGGCCACTTGCATGGTGAACCAACAGATGGAAGACTTTTCTATCTGTCCTTTGCCTTGTAAATCTGATGTGCTTTTGCAACAAATATAATTCTAAAAAACAATTTCTCAAACTTAGCAGGTGTTTGAGAAAGTAATAGAAGCTTAGAAATGGATGCAATTGTAGTGAATAGGAGGAAATAACGAGGTATTGCTGAATAAGCATAAAATCTTAATACTATAAGATGATATAAGATAGATGTGCTCTGGACACCTAACATACCGCACAATAACTTCAGCAAAAACTATTGTATTACACAATTGTTGCTGAGAGGAGTAGAAAATAACGGAGAGATAATGGATCTGTTAACTTGATTGTTGTGATTATTTCAACAACTTATGTTTGTGAAAACATTAGTCAAATGTCTTAAGTATAAAAAACGCACGTATTCTTAAAAGAAAAATGGGGAGTGACGAAACTGTGTGGAAAGAGCAAAGACAAATATTCCTCGACGTTTAACTAATAAACAAGAGCTGTTTTTTATTACTTGGTGTTGCAGGTTGCCAATGGATCTAAGACAACACTTACATTGCCAAGTAACCAGGGACTTTCCCATTGTGCTTGGCTTTAATTGATTAGCCTGACATATTCTCACTGCCTAACCCATCATCGAACTTCTTACAGGCCTCTGTAATTCCCTGCTTGCTTCTTAGCCCAGACAAATCAGTCTGAGAACAAAGATTACTTTCTTTATGAGTCATATGAATCTCCAGCGCACAGCACTCAAAACAAAGAATAATTATTCCAGTTTAAATAGCAGTAGATTCACAGAAGAGAGCATACATGTATCTCCAGGAATATGCACTCAATTATTAGAGATATTTATATGGAGGTAAAGGATGAGGAGAGAACTGAGAATGCTAATGAAAGTCAATTAGAGTTGTTTGCTATATGCCTGAAATAATTATGGAAGAGAACAAATGTTTTTGTGACCTGTTCAATGAGTTGATTTTAACCAGCTTAAAACAGCATGAGAGTGCAGTGTAGTTAAAAGATTTGTGTCTGCAGTCAAATGTGAGATATTAATAGTAATTCTGGATAAGGTTCACAAGTTGGTCATGAAAGTTCAGTTAAAGTTCATAAAAGTTTCCAGAAGTAGATGTAAAGAAAGTCAAAACTCTGCTTCTTTAACATTTTATTTATCTTGCACAGATTCATCATTAAATTTCCAGTGAGACAACAGGACTTTAAAAACCATTGCTTTATTTTCCAGTACTATAGAAGCAGATATTTAACTAAATATTTGACTAATTAGCTCTAAATTATTGCTAAGTTATTGAAATCATTACAAACATGTGTTATATTTACTAGAACATGTATGTATTATTTAAACAGTTAATTATTTAATTTTTCATAGACATCCATCAATCTGTTGAAATTACTTGCTTTATGAAGGATCACCAAAAAGCACTTTTTATAATGTGGAGTTAATTCAATACATAATATTTTTGAGAGTTTAGATCAATAGCGAGATTAAAGAAAATGCAGTTGGCAATGACATAAGACTACTCTCTCTTTTCACACTGATTACAAGTCAGAGGACTTGTGGGAAGCTCCCACTGTACTTACCACTGGCTGCTACACAGATAGTCATGGATTATCAGCAGGAACAGGTAAGGAAGAAATGCAGAACACAAACTCTAGGAAGACCCATGCTTATAGCTGACAGGGTCTTCTCTCTCTGATATCAGATGACGGAACTGCCTTCAGATCTACACAGGACAATATCCATACAGTATTGAATTCCCCGAAAACTCACTTGAATGTGAACATTTAGTAGTTCTTGGGCCTCCTATTGTCTCCATGACTGATGTCAAATTCTAGTTTGAATAATACTGTTCAAAACACAGCACTAACCTAAAACGAACTGTTGATCTTTAAGTCCTAGCCGATTTCCACCAACTAAGATGTGGCTGGTAACCACTTCGTATAAAGCCACACTGAGCGTGCATGACATTGCATGGGGAAATATTTGGTAGTTGTCAAGTATAAAGATGCCTTTTTCTGAGAAATTAAATTCCTTGTGGCATAAACATTTTGTTAAAATTCTTATTCAGATTACAATTTTAATGATTTGCCACAAAGACTGTTTAACATTGTTAGAAAATGTGTTTTTTTCTACTGAAATGTTAGCAGCTGTCTATCAAAATATGGAAAAAAGCTCAGCTGTAATGAAAAAATGTGATATTTAGATATAATTTCACTTATATGCAAATCCCTAAGATTCAGCTTGCCATTTACTCGGCTTGCCAGAAAGTTGATTAAATTTCATTATTTTCTTATGTAATCATTTAGTTCTTATATAATCATGTACTTCTATGATTAACTTTCACAATTATTTTTCTGCAGTAACTCAAACAAAATTGCAATGAATTTACATTATTTTTCGCATGTATTCTGTGATACAAGAAAAATGTCATTTAATTAATAAAAATTAGATCCAAATATTTTTATCATGCATAAATCTTATTTATATTTAGTAAAGGCCTTGCCATCATTGGATGTTTTTCTATTAGAAACTTGACAAATGCCTTGTAACCATAGAAATGATTTGTGAGACAGCAGGAGTAGCCAAAAGAGATGAAATTAATGTGTTAGATTTAGTGTTCACACAGCATGCTTTACTTTAATTGATTACTTTATGACCAAACCTAAATTACTAATATAAGTGCTGATAGAAGAAAATGAATTTTTAATAAAACACCCTTTGTAACATAGCAGCAGATTAATCTAAGTAAGAAAAGCCATCATTTGCAATAAGCTTTTTAGGGCTACTTTGATATCTTGAATACAAGCAAGGTTAAAGAGCTTATAAATACAAAAAGAGTTGGGTAAGTAGAAATGGTTTAACATAAAGTGTCTGTAAATTAACTTTGAATTATGATGCATTTACATTTTAACATTAAGTAACATATTGAATTTGAGAAGAAGTGACGATAAATCGTTTCTATTTGTTATACTGCAAAAGGATCATTTATCAACGGGTATTTAAAATAAAACAGTTTCAATAAAATCACAGAATGAGTAACTGAAAATGATTCATTTACAAACCACAATGGTAGAGTTCACTAATGCTTATGTATAGATAATATGAGTTAAAATAATTATCAGATAATGTACATTTAAGCCCATAGTTATCATTTTAATCATCATCATCTTCATCATTGTTTCATAATGCACATAAAATGAAGGTTTCAGAGTAAAAATCAAATGACTCTCACTCTGTGTCTC